CCGAGAGGGACACTTCTCCCGAAAAGGGCACCGCTTTGGCTTGCTCGAAAGGGGACACGTGGGAGGGAGAGGGGAAGGGAAGGAGGGGGAAATGAGGAACTGATTCCAAGGGCCTATGTGGAAAGCAAATGTTTTGAGACTGATGGGGGCAACAAATGTACAAATGTGCTTGACGCAATGGATGTATATATGGATTGCATTGAGTTGTACGAGCCCCCAATAAAATGATTTAAATTAAAAAAAAGTGGACACATGGGAATGAGACAAGATGGATCACATTCTTATTTCAACTCTTGGGAATTCCTATTAGTTATGTTTGGGATAAACAGCCCTGGGCTGTTAAGTGTTAGGCTGCGAACTGTAAAGTCTGCAGTTTGGAACCAGCAGCTGCTCCCCAGGAGGACTGCTATGAGTCAGCATTGACCCCATCGCAGGAATTTTGTTGTTCTGTTTTTGTATTTCATGTATTCATTCACGCTGTTTCAAATATCAAGAGGCCTGCTGGCATAGTGGTTAGGAATTGGGCTGCTGTCAGGTTAGCAGTTTGTATCCACCAGCTGCACTGTGGGAGAAAGTTGGGACTAGCTACTCCTATAAAGAGTCTCAGAAACTCAAAGCAGGTTCTACCCTGCCCTGTAGGGTCGCTGTGAGTCAGCAGTTATTTTTTGGTTTGGGCAGCATTGTGGGTTTCATTTGGAGCTGCTGCCACCAGCCACGCTGCAGGAGACGGCAGACACTTTTTAAGAATCGGCTCAATGGCCCTGATTTAGATGGACCATAACTCCCCTGCCAGATGTCTGCCCTGCCTCATCTGGGCCTCCTCCCAGCTGACCGCTGACCCTGCCTCTTCTTGTCCCTGCAGGGCTCTGGGTGACTGCGACACTGAGGCACCAGCCACCGAGGGCACCCTTTGCTGCCGCCAGGAGCTGTACATCGACCTGCAGGGGATGAAGTGGGCCGAGAACTGGGTCCTGGAGCCCCCGGGCTTCCTGGCCTACGAGTGCGTGGGCTCGTGCCAGCAGTCCCAGGAGTCCCTGCCCTTCCAGTGGCCGTTTCTGGGCCCACGGCAGTGCATTGCTTCGGAGACAGCCTCGCTGCCGCTGATTGTCAGCATCCAGGAGGGAGGCAGGGCCAGGCCCCATGTGGTGAGCCTGCCCAACATGAGGGTGCAGAAGTGCAGCTGCGCCTCGGACGGGGCGCCCTTGCCCAGGGAGCTGGGGCTATAGGTGCCCAGTGTAGTCTCCACAGACTTGGTTCTGTCAGAACTCTTCCAGGGCACGAAAGGAGAAGGGGTGGAGGGATTACTGGGTGGCTGGCTGATGGGCAGATGCTCCATGTTCCTTAGTGGGCTCTGCTTTGCCCACCAAAGGATGGACACCAAGGCTGTGATGGGACCTCTGGACACTTCTGGAACAGTCAGCTCCTTATAGCTTTGACATCCAGGGGCGAGACTCTGGCTACCTGGTCATCCTTGCCCCATCTTCTCTGTCTGTGATACATTCATTGCACTCTTTCCTAAGCACTTGCATTTCTGGATGTAATTCAAGGCCAACCTTGTTCTCCCTTACTTGACCTCTGGATCTGTATTGAGCTCTGTGGTTTGGTCAAGAGAGCAGCCTTCCTGGGCTTAAGTCCTGGGCTCATGTGTAGGTGTGTAGACCTCACCCTGGTAACAAGGGCGCAAGAATTGAAATGCAGTCACAGGCTACTCGCTGTGCTGCCTGGCCTCTAAGAATTGAGGGAGAAAATTATCTTTCTTTTTTTTTTTTTACATAAAGGGGCATTTTTATTTTTCTGGACAGTGGATGCAATCCCAATTTTACTTTCATCAAAATAAAAAAAAAAGCTCAATGAGATGTAATCATGTAGTCCATTAATATGGCCCTTCTCACCATAATTCCCTATGTTGTATATTATAATTCTGGACTTTATGCCTATAGCTATAATTCCATTTTGAAAGAAGTTCACTGCTATATTCATGGACAGGTTTAAGGTGGTTAAATCTTGACCTTATTAGAGGGTGTGAACTAAATCATGCCCGTTGTTCTATTGGAAGCGGGGAGCATATCTTTGAATCTTCTAGTGAGTGTGATGTAAGACAACATCCTTCATTTTCCATGGAGATATGGTCAGTTAAAAAATAAAAACCACACCTCTATCAAAGCCATCCCTGGGAGTAAGAGCCCTCTCAGACAGAAAGCCCAGGATCATGGGAAGAATATGTTCCAGATTGATCTGAAGTGAAGGTGGCTGAGACCAGAGGCACTAGCCTAGATACTGTCACAGAGACTCAGAGGGGCCGTCTGGGCACCCCGGGGCACCTTCTCCTTGCCAGCCTGAGACTGGGACTGTCAGACAAAGCAACATGTGGGCCAGCTTGCTGGTCCAGAAAGGCAGAAGCCAAGGGACCCCCTGGCTGAGAGGCTGATCACCAGAGAAGAGATGTGGATGCTGTCCAAGGAGAGGTGTTGCTACAAACTAATGGTTATCCTGACTCCTGGCTGATCCTGACTCACGGTAACCTATTCACTTCGCTATTTTGAGTTCTGTGTGGCCATTGCAATGAACTCTTGAACCCAACATGGCAGTAGGGTGCATGAGAGAAACCGGTTGGTGTCAGATAGGTAAAGAAGGATGGAGAAAGGATGCATATCTGACCCCTGCCTGGTGGCAATAGGGAAGCCAGGGGAGGTCCAATACGACCCCACTTATCAAAATGTATCATCAATACAACATGAATTTGGGTTAGTCCATTAAATTTTGGGCCAGTCCAAGGGAGAAAATGTTGAAAATGTTGAGTAGAATGTAAAGATTACTGGCACCTGTATGTGGTGACATTTGGTCCTTGGTGGGACATGGCTATTTTGGTTTCCTTGCCTGTCAGGATCGGTCTTATTAGCTGCAAATTGGTTTCTCTAAATCTTCATTTCCATCTCTTTCAAATAAAGACAATTGCTGATACCCATATTTTTACCCACGCTTTAAAGAAATCATTTTGTACATTGCCTGACACAACAGGCTATCAGTAGGAACATCAGTTGACATTCCAATCCATCTCAGTCTGGATTTTGAGATAATTTTACTGGAAATCAAATTTAGAAATATTCTCCCCTTTGCAAAATCAAGGACCTTTGACCAGACAGTGCTTTGTTCCGTTGTTCACGGAGTTGGGATGCATCGGAATCAACACCACCTAATAAGACCACTTCATTCACATCTTTGGTTCCTCTGGCCTAACACTAGGGCCAACCTAGACTCCAAGGACACAGACCACGCAGACGGCGGCCTCACTGCGGTAGGGAGGGGTGAAGACACGCCTGTGGGGCAGGGAGAAGAGTGGACGTGAGCGGTCTGAAGAGCAGGGAAGTTGGTAGTCTGCACACAGGCACCTGCCTCTCCCTGGGAGGGAGGGAAGGCCCAGTGCCTGGGAGGGGCGGGGAGAGGGCTTCCTGGGAGGTAGCTAATGAGAGGAGGAAGCCAGGAGAGACAGAAGGAGCCCTCTCCTGCCAGCGGAGGCACGGGCTGGTGCTAGAATTGGAGGACCAGGAGGTGAGGAGGCTCTGTGATCATTACACTCTGAGATAAAGTTACCGACACGGGAGAGGGAAGTCAGGTGAGAGACAGTAAGGCCGCGCGCGTATGGGGAGTGGGGAGCTGTCGAGGAGTCTGGACATTTAGTGCAAGAAAGGGCCAACGCCTCACTTCCCAGATGGGCGCCCTGAGGCCTGCTGGTGGGGTAGCTTGTGGGTACGCCTGCCGCTTGTGGTACGCCTGCCCCATGGACCCCATCCTTGTGTCCCGCCAGGTGCACCCCCTGCACCGGTTCAACGAGGCCGGCCCTGCCCTCCAGGAGCGCACGGCTTGACGGCTCTCAGCGGAGCCATCTGTGCCCAGCTGGACACTGATGAGCCCATGTGAACTTGCTGGGGCGCGCGAGTCACGGGCAGTACCAGCCTTGGCCCCGGGGCGTCGCTAGAGTCGCTGCGCCCTCCGTGTGGGCAGGACAGTACCTGAGGGGCTTCTGCCGCCCAGCTCGCACGAGAGCACCCAGTCCTTTCACCCCCGCCACCCCCTTCTCCCAGGTGGAGACCATTCCGTTCAATTCAAGGACCTTTCCAAATGGTCACAGGTGCCCTCCCCGCGCCGCCGCGGGCACCCTGCGCTGGGCTCCCCGTTCCGCGGGGGCGGGGGGTGATGCGAGGACAGCCCCGGCGACGCGCCCCTGGGCACCAGCTGGCTCTGTCGGGGTTCGTGGGGGGGGGGCGGGCTGAGGGGCGCCTTGGGGCACGTGGCCCGCCGGCGCCAGAAGGGACTCCAAATTGGGCAAGCCGCGGCCGGAGTTGTGCGCATGTGCAGCAGGCGCAGGAGTTTCACTTTGTAACTTTTAAGTGGTCCGGAGGCTGCCGGGCCCGGCCAGGTGAGGCCGGACCACTCCCTGCCAGCGCCGCCGCCGCTGCCCCAGGTAACGCGGGAGGGGGCTGCTGAAGGGGACGGGCCCCGTCGCCGTTCCTGGGACTGGCGGGCACGCGAGGGCGGCCGAGATGGGGCACGGGCGGTGACAACCCCAGGCGCCACGTCAAGTGTCGGGTTCCAGGACCAGCTGTGGCATCCGCCGCCCCTGCCTCCAAAACAGGAGGGGTGGGAGGGCAAGTGGGTCAGTCCCGGGTCCCAGGCACCCAGCCTGCCCCTTCCCAGCCCAGCGCTCCTAGGGACTTCCTGGTGGCTCTCCCAGGCTGCCCTCTCCTCGGTTCCTGCTTCTCTTTGCCAAGACGCCCGACCCCTCCCGCGCCCTGTCCTTTCCCGGCAGGGAGTTGTCTACGGAGTTACAGCAGGTCAAGGAGGAGCGCAGCCGAGCCCCACTGAGAGCCAGACGGCTGAGGCAAGGGCCAGGAGCCCCTGCCCCTCTGTAACCATCCCTGCCGCCGCGGGGAGTCCGAGGAAGGCCGCTCTGATACAGGGGCAGGGTGAGAGGAGGGTGAACTGAGTTCTGCAAAGAAACCGACTCCCCCAAGGATCCAGTGCCTGATAAGACTGGCAACCCGAGACCCTGGGTGGCCTTCATCCTTCAGCCCAGGTGGTGTCCCCCAAGGACAGGGGTCGGTAGTGTGGTGGGCCAAATGGCCTTCTGGCCCCTTCCAGATGGGGCTGTGTGTGGCTTTGTGCTCCAACCCCTGGACTGTGGGTTTGAGGTTAAGCTCAGGATGGGGGCCCACCTGTACAGGTACTTGTCGGCCCCAGGAGGACTGGGTGTAGGATCCTGGGACCTTTCTGATCCAGGCCTGCAGATTTCCACTGGGTGGGGATACAGAAAGATGCAGGCCGTCCCTCACTGGACAAACAACCCTGTAGCATGCTCTCCCACTCCTCCCACCCACCCATTTCTTCCCCCTTTTCATGCCTGTGACACCTGTCAGGAGCCCTGGAGACTGTTTCTGTCCTCAGGTGGCTGTGAACAGAAGCCCAGGCTGCCCTTCCCCTTCCCACACCCCTGCTGTTTGTTTAGCCTTAGCACAAGGTCTCCCCCCCCACCTTGGTGTTCACTGAGTTCCAACAGAGAGGATATCAGATGGGGCCCTGCCCTCGTGTTTCCCATGAGCATATGGGGTGACTTAATCTTCCTTGTTGTTGAGAGGAGTCACAGCAGGCCATACCCCAATTCAGTGATGTCTGCACGGACAGTGACATTGGTTACTCTCTCCAAGATGGGCAGCCCTTCTCCCGCTCCTTTCCCAAACTGTCCCTCCCGCATCAACGTGAGCTCACCGCCCCTACGTTTCCTACTTCAGCTGTGTGGTTGCTCTGATCTCGTGGGTCTTACAAAGCACAGTGCTCAATGCAAGCAGGCATTTTTATTACTTGAGCTAACCTATCACTCATGTTATCGAAGACTCTAGAGGATATTTTGGTTTAAAATCTAAAGGTGGTCTCAGGGCAGTAGCTTTGGGGGTTCACCCGGCCTCCATGACTCCAGAAAGTCATGAGTTCCATGACAATTTTCCATGTTTTTTGGCATTTCCCTCCTTTGGGACCAGAAATCTAGAGCATCTTAGATCAGAATATTCAGTAATTGAAGGGGTGACTTCCAAAAGCAGAGTGCTTTTGAGAGTCCATTAGGACCAGTCCCTGGGCTAAGGGCTTTATATGCATTATCTCAGGTACATGTCTCCAGACAGCCCGTCAGAGAAACAAAATCATACACACACCCGCCCACCCCTGTTTTGTGGAGAAGGACGCCAAGGCACGGAATGGTTAAGCAACCTTGCAAAGTTGTGTAACTGTAAGTGATTCTAGTGCCATCCTTATGCTGGAGCCTTCTTGCTAGCCACAGCACCCCACTGCCTCCCGCCAGCCAGAGGCTGGGTCACCCCAGGGGTGACCAGAGTTGATGCCAGTGGCAGTTAGCATTGGTCCAGATTCCTGGGCCCCACTTGGCAGGCTTCAGGGGGTAGTCTGGGTTCTAGCTCAGCTTCTTCCCCAGGAGGCCAGGGCTAGCTCCTGGAAAGCAAGGACTAGGGCTGCTGGCATCTTCTCAGCACTTAACAAAATGGAAAGATTCAGTGATGACTGGGAAAAAAAAAAAAAAGCCTGATTTTGTACAGGGCCTGTTTCAAGACCCGAGAATGATCACCCATTTCATGCAGCGTTCTGCCAGAATCTGCGAGGTTCCTCATGTGCTTAAGTGCTGGTGGTTCAAACTCAACGACAGGTGCCTGGCAGAGAGGTCTGGCCATCTGCTTTGGAAAGGTCACCGCCTTGAAATCCTTAGGGTGTCATTATGTCACACTCTGTATCACCAGGTTGTCATGGGTCAGAATCCTCTGGGTGGGCAACTGAAAGCGGCAATGCTGTCCCTCCCCCCACCCAGGAGGTCACGTGGATCTTTGCTGTGGCTCAGGCTGGCAGTGGGTTAAGATTGGTAGTTTGCTTCTTTCGTAAGTTGAAGATAAGCTGTTGGATTCAGGCCTCTGTCCCCCTGACCACATCACAGTCCCGGGGACACATGGCTGGCTTTCGGCTTGGAGGCCCAGCTGGTCATCCTGGTGCCTGGCCCTCAGCAGTCATTCCTGCCATTTCTGCTCTCAGGAGGAGGGGGACGTGAGATGGGAGGGTGACTGGAACCACTCATGCCTACACATGGTTGGCAAGTGCCTAGGGACTGAGCATTGCCGTGGGGGTAGGGGTGAGGTATTGTTGGCCAGGCAGGACCCTGGTGGCCACAGTGTCTGCTAGCTTGGCACCTACCCAGCCCTCACTATCAGTCTCCTCCCAGCTCGGTGTCCCCTGGGCCCCTCCCTAGCCTGCCAGGGCTTGTCCTGTGGTGCCTGTGTTCCCCTGTCCGGCTGACGCTGCAGAGCGTACCAGTCTGGGAAGATGCCCAGGGGCTGCCCTCCGGAAGCCCCAGTGACCCTGATGGCTGACAGGCTCTGGATTTCGTATGTTTAGCAGACGGAGACTGAGCCAAAAGGACTGTCCTGCAAGGAGCAGGACTGTCAGGACTGGCCACATAGGGGAGGGGGCCTTGAGGGAGCCTAACCCATTGTCCAGACCAACCAGCAGTATTTGACCAGAGTAAATGACCAGAGGAAAATGACTTAGAGCCCTGTCACGGGGCTGGAGGGGGATGAGGCGCTGCTATTTCAACCCTCCCTGGGGAAAGAGCTCCCCCGGGTATTTGGGGGGTAACTCACTCCTCCGCTCCACAGCTCCACCTGCCCTTGCTTGTTCTGTGCTCCTCCTCCTTCCTGGTTCTAGCCCTTGGGGGACCCTGGGGAGCCGCTGTGGTCGCAGCAGCCCTTGGAGTGCACATTAAGTCCTTAGCTCGGTTCTCTCGACCTCGAGCCCCCAGCCTCCAGTGCTTCCGAGGGGTGAGGGGAGGTAAACGGAGAGAGGACCTTCCCTCCCCTGGTTCCGGCAGGGCCCCAGCCATGGCGGAATCAGGATGATGCTATGTGTCTGGAGGAGTATGGACAGGCGATCTGTTCTGGGGTCTGGGGAGAGCCAGGGCTAGAGGGAACCCCCTAAACAGAACCAAAAGCCCTCCCCCCCCCGAAATGTTGCATTCAGAGCCATTTGGGCATGCTTGAGTGTAGGGGCTGAGGGAGGGGGTGCTGAAAGGTCTTAGGCCAGCACCCCTGGATGGGAAAGGGCAGTTCCAGTAGGACTCTGTGTCCTGTGTTCCTGCAGAGACGTTTGGAAAGGCCCGTGGCCCTAGACCCCTGGCCAGGAGAGCCCTGCAGAAAATGAGCGCCAGCCCTGAGGCCTGGCCTCCAGCAGCTTGGGAGTCGGTGGTCCTCGCTGCCTTTGCTGTCGCCGGCAACAGTGCCATCTGAGACCTCGCCCCGGGACTCTTCCACTGCCCCTCCGTCCCCAGTTTCCGGGTAAGTGCAGGGACAGGAAGAGTACCCCATGACCTCACAGCCCGGGCCTGGGACGTTCCTGTGGTGCCGCCACCTGGTAGGGTTTGAAGGAGGGATGACAAGACCAGCTGTCGCCCTGAAGGAAGCTTTCATGACTTTAAGTCCAGCTCCGCCCAGCTACCTTCCAAGACCCACAGGCCCAAGAGAGCGACTGACCCCCGGGCCATTCTCATGTACCTTCAGACCTGCCAACCGCCCACCCTTCCTGGGCTTTTTTAGTGTTTTAAACAGAAATATAAAATGGTTCTCTCTAGAACAGCAGTGCCAGGAATAAGAATTGGGACACCCCCCTTGCTCCTCCCCTCTTATCCCCACCGCCACTGTCGGCATGACCGGCCATGAAGAAGCTTCGGGAGGAAAAGGGTGTGAGCGCTGAGCTTTTCTCCTGGCCCTTTGGCCGTAGACAGTGTGCACAGTGGGCCCCACCCCTCATGCCAGCTGCATTAGGAAACCAGCGCTGGAGATTTCCATTCGCCTCATCAGGGTGCCAGGGGCCTCAGCGAGGAAAGGTTGGCCACCCAGCCTGGAGCCGAGCTGACGCTGGATATGCAGGGTCTTCCTATTCGCTTAGGGGGCCCAGGAGTGCCGCTGAGGGAGGGCGAGGAGGTCAAGCCATAAGAGGCTCCAGGGACCCCCAGTGCCGACTAGGGGCCCCGAAACCAGCCGCAGTGCCGCCTCCTATCCCAGACGCCCCTCTCTGGCTGTCTCTTCTCTTGCCTTTAATCTCTCAGTGACTCAACAGGAAAGGGAGGGTGGCCCAGGAAGAAGGCTGGGCAGCGATGTGCTACGGCTCCGACCAGCTCCTGCATGGGAGGCCCAGGGAGTGGGCCTGGGAGCCTAGTCTTAGACCCGGGGCCTAGCTGACATTGCTCTCAGCAGACTGGGCTGTGGCCCAGAGGTGGCTGACTTTGGAGGTTTGCTGTCTTCCTTGCCTTTGTGTCCCTCCTCTGTCACCCCCACCCCCCTGCAGCCTGTATGCTGGCTTTCCCAGTGGCTCCCACAGTCTGCCCAGGAGTGAGAGCCCTTCAGCCCTTCGAAGCGGGCAGCCTGGCTGCTCCTGCCCCCACCCCCCCTTTCTTCTCTTCCACCCCACCAGAGGCGAGTCTATGGCTACGTCCCTGACAAGCCCATCTGCCCTGACCATCTGACCCCGTGGGACTCTTTTCACAATGTGGCTATTCTCTGGGGACACTACCAGGCACACAGGGTTCCAGTGTCCAGCTTGCCCTGATTCTGCCCCGTTGGCTCCCTGCAACCCACCAGCAAGGACCTTGACACCTTCCACTCTAGAAACTGGGGCAGCCTTGAGCCCTGTCTATTGCCTGGTGTTCTTCAGGGCCATGACGGACTCCCCGTTCCTGGAGCTGTGGCAGCCCCGGGGGGTGTCCATCCACGAGCAGCTGGGCATCGGGGACCGGCCCAATGACTCCTACTGCTACAACTCGGCCAAGAACAGCACCGTGCTCCAGGGCGTCACCTTTGGCGGCATCCCCACCGTCCTGATCATTGACGTCAGCTGCTTCCTGGTGAGGCCCCTCGTCAATCGTGTCCTTCCTTCAGCTGTTTGTACCCGCTTCTCAAGGTCTTCGGGGAGACTCCAGGAGGGGGCACAGAAACACCTGGATTTAAATCCCAACCCCGTGACTTCCCTGTGTGACCCGAGCCTTGGTTTGCACATCTGTGACATGGGGATGATAATTCTTAGCTCAGAAAGTTTGGGAGGAGATAATCGGAGGAGATGGAGATAAACAAGGAGGGACATGACCTCACTGCCCCTGAAAGGATGTCCCTGTCTTCTTGCTGCACCTTGAGAAAATCCCACGAGAACTTCGTGACCTCATAGGACAGAGTAGAACTATCCCTTGGGTTTCTATACAGACACCGTCGGCCGCATCTTTCCCCCAGGAGCAGTGGGTGGGTTCCGATGGCTAACCTCATGCTTAGTAGCCCCCAGCACTAGCCCACTGTGCCGCCGGGGGTCCTTACCAAGACACAGAAACCCCCACAGGAGAAGCTTGCTTCTTGACGTAGCCAGCCCAGAAGCCCTGGTAGTGTAGAGGTTACATGTTGAGCTGTTGATGTCAAGATCTGAAGTTCAAAACCACCAGCAGTTCCTCGTGGGAGAAAGATGGGACTCTCTACTCCCGTAAAGAATTACAGACCGTCTTGGGAACCCACAGGGGCAGCTCTTCCTTCTCCTGTAGGCCACGAGGAGTTGACCCTGACTGGATGGAGGTCGGTGAGCTAGGCTTGGGTTTCGGATACATGAGCTGGGTACCTAGCAGCAGTCCTTTTGGGCTCACCCTCAGAAGATCTCCAAGATCGTTCTAGCCCCTTGATTCTAGGCAGGTGGCCGCCACGTCTCAAATTAGAAGCCATCTCAGTGTTGTTTTTATTCTAGGTTCTAATATTGGTGTTCTCTTTAATAAGAAGACGATTCTGGGACTATGGCCGCATTGCTTTGGTGTCCTCAGAAGCCGAGAGGTACAGAGAGACTCATCTAGCCTGGTGTGCGGGATGCTGGGAGCTGGGCATCTCTGGCACAGGCCTTTTCCGCCCTGGCCTGCCTTCCTCCCCGCCTTGGTCGTGCACCCAGCAGGTAGAGACCAGGGAGGCACAGAGTGGGGGCAAGACAAGGTGGCTCTGCCCCCGTTGTTTCATCAGCTTCCTCCTGGCAAAGCTGGTGCCTGCTCCTCTCCCTTTGCCCACTCCAGAGGTCTTATCCTGGACATCAGGGGCTTGTGGAGGCCACCAGGCTGGGCCCGCAGGTGATGTTGCTGGGAGATGGTTTTCACTGAGTGCATCTGCCACATCCCGACCACAAACTCTGACCTCTCTGGTCTTGCCCGCAGACCAGGAGGTCTGCCTCGGAGGTCCTTGTTGTGCTCATGATACTTGAGGCCCAGACAGCGTGGGAAGTTGTCTACAGCCCCAAGGTTAGGAAACGGTGCCCCTGGTTTCCGTTCAACCCTATGCTCTGGGTGGGGGGGGTGGGGGGTTCTCAGCTGATTTTCTGTCAGTCTTCTCATCACCCAAGTGTTCCTTCTACTGGCGGCTCGGTTCCCCCAACTCTCTCCTGGCGCTTCTGGCCATCGCTGGAGGCCGACCGTGTCTCCATGAGAGGATGGGGGCCAACTAGACTCAGCCGCTACTGAAGGCTTTCCTAGTCAGCTGTGGGGAGGATGCCTGCTTGCTCTCTCCTGGAATGTTTCACACGGTCCTGTTAGGGTTCTCGTGTGCGAAATACCTCGGTTCTTGGCTTCTCATGAGAAAGAAAGAATTCATGCTGAAGCCTGGTTTGTGATCCAAGTGGGTTTTTTTTATAAAGGATGGGAGAAGTTTCAGGTTTTACAGTCTCAAAAGAGTACATGCTATTTCAGGGAAGTGTGCCAAACTGTGCAGAAGCTTCCCTGGGGCTCAACACTGTACCAGGGCAACCTTGTGGGACTGTGCACCCACACTTGGTGACCTAAGCTAGAGAGACCACAGCACCCCAAGAGGGCACAGGAGCCAAAGGGCGAGGGATAAAAGGTCGGGGGGAGGGGGGCAGTGGTCCCGCTGGCAAGGTATTTGAAGCCTCTGGCTGGGGAGGCATGGTCAAAGGTTGACCTTCTCCCCCCTTGGCTGAATTAAGCCCACCTTGGTCTAGTTTGGGCCGCCCAGGTATACTGCCCACCTGGGGGTAGGGGGCGGGTAGTGGTAGGGACTGACTTGGAGCATGCCCAGTTAGTCTTTATGGCTGGCTAAGGCTCACCCGATTCTCTTCCAACCTCATTTAGGGGGCCTTCAGGCATGGAGAGGGACAACCCTGTCTCCCTATCCTGCTCCTAACAGTCCTCTCTTGAACGCCAGAGCCCTGGGTGCCAGGTACAAACAGTCAGCAGGACCCCACAGAGATGCCTTGGAAAAAGGGCCTGTTGATCGACAGCTCTCCGGAGCCCCGTTCCTGTCGGACACATCTGGGGCCACTGGGAGTCAGCTCTGACCCCCTGGTATTTGGTTCTTTGAAATGGACTGGCTTGGAGGTGGGGTGGATTGAGACAGGTAGTAGGGTCCAGGTGACCTATTCTTGTCCTGTAGGGTAACTTGGAACTCACCTGGCTTCCTGGGCCAGACTTGCGGTCTTTTCAGTTCCACTGTAGGCCCTGGTGTCTCTGCTGGCTTCTCCTGCAGGGGGACACAACTGGAATTTCCAGCTCCCGCTGGCTATTGCACCCCAGGGTTGGATGTGGGAGGAGGGGATGCAGGCAGGCTGGCCCCAGCCTCCTGTGGTGGTCTTTAAGACCCCACTGGCCCAGCTGGTGGAAATGAGCTCTGTGGGGGAGGGAAGTCTGGAAAGGCACCTCTTTTCCTGGGCGGGCTGGAGCAGAGCCCAGGTGCTGATGACCTCAGGGTAAGAGGGCGGGGCTGCTGGCACCTGTGTGGAAGCCTTAACCCACGTGAAGGTGAAACCTTTTAGAACATCCCCTGCCTTGACACCAGTTCACCCCCAGGAAGGGCAGGGCTGAAAAGAGCACTTGGATACCAGAGGCCGGGACCTCCACTCTCCCAGCTGAGAGGAGGGGCTTGGTCAAGTAATGAGGTTGATTTCCTTCTGCCCCCTTGTAGCGGATTGAATTGTGTCCTCCAAAAACCCCAAGAACAAAACTCTCCAAACAAACTCCTCTGCCTGTGGAGCAATCCCACCTGGGAGGAGGGGCTAGTTGTTATGCTAACTAGGAGCCATGCTTGTGTAGGGTGTGTCTTAAACCGAATCACTGGTGAGAAGGAGGAAGCTGGAGCTCAGAGCCCTGGTGGGACTCTAAGCACCCAGGCTGAGAAGCTGGAAGAAGCCAGAGGTGAGGTGTTCCTGAGAGCTGCCGCCGAGGAAACCAGACTTCCTGCCCCCCAGTCCATTCTCACCCCGGGACAGCCCAATGTACAACCCACTGCTCTGCCAGGGCTCCTTCCCCTTGAGCCAGCACCCTGACTTCAAACCTCTAGCCTCCTAAACTGTGAAAAAGTAAATGTGTGTCTGATAAAGCCACCCCTTGTGGGATCTCTGTGATAGCAGAGCTGGGTATCTAAGGCACCCACTCTTCCTCACAGGGTGACTGAAGATGAAATGAGAGAGTCTCTGAATGCTGTGAAAGTGACATGTAGCTGTGTGTGGTGCCGGTTGTGGCAGGTTGGAGCCCTGAGGAGGGAAAGAGGGAAGCAAAATTGTTAGGTCTCTCGGGGGAGAGATAGACCTCGGTTCTTGGCTTCGCACGAGAAAATTCACACCGAAGCCTGGTTTGTGATCTAAGTGAGTTTTATAAAGGTCAGACGCAGTTTCGGCGTTACAGAAAATGGAACACAAGCCAGTAACAGTCCGTGGTTCAGTTGAGCTGATCTGTGTGGCAGCAGCTGGGAGAGACATCCCCCCCACCACCCCGGAGAGAAAACTTCTGGCTTTTCTGACCCCATTAGTTGAGTCAAATTCACCTGGCCTAGATGGGCCAATCCAGGTGTACTGCCTCTTCTTGGCTGCGAGCCTGAAGGGAAGCCTGCCCTCCAGCCCCTATGCGGACTGGGCTTGCCTGATTCTCTGCAGGAATCTCCTGTAGGGGCGCCTTGGCATAGAGAAGGAGAACTCCCTATCTGGCTACCTAACAGAATCTCCCATATTACCAGCACCTCTGATTCATAGTCCACAGGGTGTTTTATAGGGCACTCGGAAGGGAGTTGACTAAGAGTACAAAACACAAAATGCCATCGGCCATGCTGGGACTCATGCTGGGAACTCTGAAATCAGGGTGCCTCTCATTGTCAATGAGGGCATCTCCGTTTCCTAGAGCGCTGTATGTCAGAGGCAGTGCTAAAGTGGAATACATTTTAGACTCAGTAATTATCTGCCATGTTTTCCTGTTTCTTTCCTGCTCTAGAGAATCCAGAGCCCGCAGGCTGTCCTCCTCCTCCTCCTCAGGGCAACAGGACTTTGAAAGCGAGCTGGTAGGTATTTAAGGGACAGCCATCCTTGCTGAAAAGGCCCCCGGTGTGACGGTGGGTTAAGCACGAGACTGCTAATTGTTCAAAGGTCAGCCGTTTGAACCCACCTGCTATTCTGCAGGAGAAATCGAGGCTCTTTTTGCTCCTGTAAAGATGGATTCCACCCTTCACCCCCGGGGGGGCAGTTCTGCTCTGTCCAGTAGAATGGGCTCGGTGGCAGTGGGTTTGGGTTTCTCCGGGTGGGGCTGGTGCCCGGATGGGAGCCTGGGGTGCTGATCTGGAGGGCAGGGCTGTGGTGCTGCTAGCCTAGCGCCGCTTGGGATCTTGCGTGACAAAGTGTTGGAGGAAGTTCTTCCCAGCAGCACAGGTGCCTGAACTTGGGCAGCACTTTAGGGAAGATGGCAGTTGGGGGCCCAAGGTGATGAGACTAGAGTGTTTGTCTGGCTGCATTGTCTAGAGAAACAAAACCAGGGACACTCATAGATGTATGAGAAATAATTTTACATCCAGAAATAACTTACTCTCAAGAAGGCATCCCAGCCCAGTCCAACTCAAGTCCATGGGTTTGATGCTAGCAGGATCCTCTGCAGACGCATGCAGCTGTAGGCCCATGATGCAGAAAGGGGCACAGAAGCAGGGAGATCACAGGCCGCTGGATGCCCAGTGGAGTGGATCCAGGGATTGGTGGGAATGTGGCAGGGTGCAGACAGCTCTCAAGGTTTGGTGGCCCACGGGGGCCACCCTTGGAGACGGGAAGGGAAAGGGGAGGGATCCCCAGTGTTTCTCTTATAAAAAGGCCACACCTCCCAGAAGGCATCATCAGGCTGTGACCTAACAGGTAGGTTGGACTCCACCCCTCCACACGTGCAGGTTGACATAAAAGCTGTCACAGAGTAACTCGGGTACAACTGGTTGTGGCATCCCCCAGGCTTCCCAGGGACGGGTTCACCAGGCAGCATGCACTGGCTCTGCTCTGCTGACTAACTCCCTGTAGTGAGCCCTTTCACCAGGTGATGCTCGTCCCTAAGTGGTAGACAATCACAGTGAAGCCCGAGGGAGCTTTGCTGGCTGGGCAATCCTCCCTGGACTGCTTGCCCAGCACTTGTCTCCACCACCCGAGGGCATGGCTTTGCATGGCAGTGGTCACTGGCTGACCGCCTGCATGCTAGATTGTGAACCAAATGGAGGCGGGAATCATAGCCAGCCTGTTCTCCAGCCCCTGATGCTCATTCGGTGCTCGGCAATTGTCATTTGAGTGGCAAGCACATCGTTCTCTTCCACATCTAAGTGTAAGATAGGATGGACGATAAAATCTTAGGGGGTGTCCAATGAGAGGAGACTCAACCACCACATGGTTGGTGCCGCAATGCCCCCTTGCAGGTGGACTGTACGGACAGAAAGTCCTCATATCAACAATGAAACAAAACCATCTCCTCGGTAAACCCATTCCAAACTTCTCAGGTTTGCCTCCCCTTTGTCCCACATCTTGATTTTTGAGACAGTGGAATGGAAGCAGTTTATCCGGAGCTTTCCCTGAGTCTGATTTCGCTGTTGATCCAAGTCTCGTGGTTTGCCTCTGGGCTGGTGTAATTCCACACGCTGACCAGACTTAATGGGTTTTCTCAAGAGTTCTATGCACACCGTACATATTTCAACAGGACAGGTGCATGTGAATTCTGTCGTGTTTGACTTAAGGGGGCAGCCGGCTGCCTTTGGGACAAAAGCGTTATTGCTGTAAGACAGGAGGTTAAGTGGTTGCTTAAGATGAAAGATGATGGTTTCATATCCCTCCCAAGTCACTGGTGCTGGAAGCTCATCTGAGTTCTCTGTTTCCAGGGATGCTGCCCCTGGCTGACTGCCATCTTCTGTCTGACGTGAGTGCACAGTGGCTGTGGGGCCTTTGTTTGGGTGTTTGGTCTCAGGAGGAAAGAGCCAAGATAGCTGATCTTGATTTGAGGCCCCCTATAGACTGAAAAAATAGCATGGGGTCATGCCTGAACACCTTCACCTTCAGGAGGGAGGAGGAGAATCCAGAGCTATATCAAGTGCTACTTGCCACGGGAATGATGGAGTGGGGGCTGCACAAGCAGATACCTACACTCTATCCTGGATTGTGGGCTGCAGCACAAAGGGTCTGCACAACTTCGTGCACTGAACCAAGGTGGGCAGTGCGCCCTCTGCTTTCTGGCTGAGCTCAGACAAGTTCCGTGAGCAGTTCCCAGACTCTGCTCAGTCTCACTGCACACAGACTGTCAGCCTTTTTATACAGTGGCCCTTGCCTCCCTGTGCAATGTTTGCCTGTCCTTCCCTGTCAGGAGAGTGGGGCAGAGGGTGGGAGGCTCCTCCTGCTCCCTCTGTAGCACGAAGTCTGGCTGTGGGAACCTGGGATGTCCCAGGACCCCAGTTGACCCAGACCTTCCAATGTAGTGCCGAGGGTGGAAAACAGCACAGCAGGTCGGCTCCCCACCCCCAGGGCTAGGGCAGGGTCCCAGGGAGCAGGCAGAGTGCTGCCTGGACCTGTTTGGAGGTTTCCAATATGGCTCCTCTGCCTGTCTCCAGCTCTCCTGAGGGGGAGACCGAAGGGAAGTGTGGGGTCATGAGCTGGGACACATTCCAGAGGGGATTCCCCCGGAGCCACTTTGTCGATGACTTTGTTTCTTGAACAGGGAAGGGCTGTGGACTAACGGCCTTCCACACTACCGCCACTTGGGCGGTGTGGCCACGACTGTTTCTCGTGGCATGACCTGCAGTGGCAGTCGGTCGCTTGGCAGGAATAGGAGGTTGGGACTAAGGTGGGTGGAGGGGGGTCTCAGAGTTCACGTCATAGCTCTGCCGTCACAAGGTCTGCGATCCTGAAGTGACACACATTTTCTGTACCTCTGTCTCCTTTAATGTTTAAAAAAACCCGAGGGATCATCACAGACCCTCCCTCATTCCGATGGGGTGTGTGTGTGTGTGTTTGGGCAGCGACGAGCAGATCTTGGAGTGGTGTGGAGAGGACGCCATCCACTACCTGTCCTTCCAGAGGCACATCATCGGCCTGCTGGTGGTGGTCAGCTTCTTGTCCCTGTGCATCATCCTGCCCGTCAACCTTTCAGGGGACCTGCTGGGTAAGACTCTTGTCCTCCTTGCCCGTGGCCCCCGATCTCTAGCATTCATGCTTTCAGGTAGATTCGGACTCTTCGGTCTGAATTAAGATCTGGAGAAGACTCCACCCCAACAGTGGGGCAAAGAGGTGGGGCTCCCAGGCGATGAAGATAACTAACCCAAGACAACCCCCAAAACTCACTGCCAGTGAGTGGACACCGACTACTCGTGGTGACCCCGTAAGGCCGGGGGGAACTCCCCCATGGGTTTCTGAGACTGGCTCTTTATGGGAGTACAAAGCCTTCTCCCCTCCTAGCCTTGGGAGTATTAGCCCAACACGGAATCACTCTGCCACCAGGGCTGCTCGATTGTAATGAGGTGGGAGGAGAACAACCACACAAATCTGTGGCATTGGAGACTTTCAGATAATATTTGCTACTTTTCTGCCTTCATGCAAATTAGGAGGTTACCCGGGAAGTGTTGGTGATTGCTCCAAACCTAGGCCAAAGCATGACTTTCTAAGTGACGGGTGAGATCTGTAAAGCAAATGCCACAATGAGTCTTCTTCTGTGCCCTAGCAATAGTTTACATTGTTTCTAGTGTGCTGAAGGGATTCCCTGAGAATCTCCAGACAAGATGAATCCCCATTTTAACTTCATCCACAGGCTCGGTGGGAGCCTTGGTGGCACAGCGGTTATGGGTTGGGCTGCTAGCAGCAAGGTCAGCAGTTTGAAACTGGGCACGCCAAGGGGGAAAGGCAGGGATTTCCATTCTTGGAAAGAGTGGCAATCTCGGAGCCCCCGAGAGCAGTGGTTTCGTGCGCTGTGGGGTCGCTATGTGAGGAACTGCCTGGTGGCAGTGAGTTGCATGGTAGGTTGAGAAGGTGCCGTGAGGGCAGATCTTGGAGTCACCCAAGGCATTGCTTAGAGTCGCTCTGGAGAGACGGGGTGTGCTTGTCAGCCCGCTCTCCCTCCGCCAACTTTTCATTGTGCTTTGAATGAACGCTTCCAGAGCACCTTGGTCTTCCATCCCACAGCTCACACACGGTTGGTTTGTGACATGGATGGCTGTCCGTGCAGTGTGACAGCACGCTTGCCACATCCTTCCTCCTGCCCCTCCTTCCTGTCCTTCGTCCCCTCTGGGGGACCTTGCTTCTGAGGAGTCGGCTATCTCCTGTCTCTCCTCTCAGAACCCCCAGGAGCAAGGCCACCCCACCCCCACTTTCCCTGCTCTCCCGGACCCAGCCCCAAACAAGATCTCTGTGTCTCTGCAGATAAAGACCCTTTCAGCTTTGGGAGGACGACCATAGCAAACCTACAAACTGAGTGCGTATGAGGCGGGCCGGGGTTACGGGTGGGCAGTGGGGATGCTGATGGGGGAGGGTCTAAGGGGAAGGCAGAATCTAAGGAAGGCCTGGGGTACGCCAGAAGTCGTCCAAAGCAGGTTGAAATGTTGGAGAACCCTGTCGTCGCTGTACACTGGGCAGTTAGCCACAAGGTCAGCAGTTCAAAACTACCAGTGGCTCCGGGGGAGAAAGAAGGGGCTTTCTACTCCCATAAAGAGTTCTGGTCTCGGCACAGTTCCGCCCTGCTTTATCGTGTCTCTCAGCCAGAACTGACTTGACGGCAGTGAGTTTGGTTTGGGTGTGGTGTTGCTGGTCCACAGGCAAGAACCTCGCTCAAGGAGCCTCCCTCCTGCCCCCCTGCCCCCCAATTTGCAGAGGGCTTCCCAAACACCAGGTGGCGCAAATGGTTAGCCACTCAACTAGTAACTGAAAGGTTGGGAGTTCGAGCTAACCCCGGGGCCCTCGGGAAGGAGGCCTGGTGGTCTGTCTCTGACGGGCCACAGTGGGGTGCAGTGCTACTCTGCAGCACCCAGCGTCCCTAAGAGCTGCAGCGGATCAGGTGGCAATGGTTTTAACGGAACTCCCAGGCCCTGTGGAACTGGAGCTCCTTGGCCACAACCGGAGCCCTCTGAAGGGCTCTGAGGGCCACAAGGCTGCAACAGGCTTTGCTCCCCTGGCCTCCCGCGAGTGGAGTCTGTGGTGACGAGGCCCTGGGTCCTCAGCTCAGTGCCAGGATAACAAAGCCCCAGCACCCCCCCCACCCCCCCAGGGCCCCAGGGCTCATGGCTGGCAGTGTCCTCCCCCCGTGTGTTAGTCTGGGTACTTTAGAGAAACAAATCCACAGCAACTCATGTATAAGAGAGTTTTATGTAAAGAAAGTGTGCATCACGAAAACATCCCAACCCAATGCTGCCCACGCCCACAAGTCCAACATGAACCCATTAACCCAGCACCAGCCCACAAAGTCCTCCACCTCACAAAACAGGCAATGATGCCGACTGCAGGAGGAAAGCTGAGTCAGTGAACGAACAAGCATCTCAGCACTAGCAGGGGTCTCCACACGGCTGCTCCAGCACCCAGGGCTGCATCGGGATAGGTCCATGTGGCTTCTCCTTGGGGATGTCTTGTAGGAAGTCGATCTTGCAAGCTGAAGCAGGGAACTGCTAAGGCAGCTGCACCCTGGTGCGACCATCACAAAGCAAGAGACCTGAGAACTAGAAAGGCGAGGCTCACCACCCATTTATCCCTCTGCCTTTCAATTAGCCCCACATGTGATTATCGGCCAGGTTGGCACAATTAACTAACTCACCCCGGGAGCCCCAGGGCTCATGGCTGGCAGTGTCCTTCCCCCGGGGCCCCAGCACTCATGGCCAGCAGTGTCCTCCCCTCAGCAATGACCTCCTCTGGCTGCACACCATCTTCGCCTCCATCTACCTCATCCTCACCGTGGGCTTCATGCGGCATCACACCAAGGCCATCAGCTACCAAGCGGAGAGCCAGGTGAGGAGGGCAGCATGCTGGGCACGGGTCTCAGGTGGGAGCTGGCTCCCACAGCCTGGGCGCCCACCGGGGTCTCTCTGGGATGCTACCTGGTCAGCAAACAGCTTTCATAAACACAGCAATGTCCTTGGAAATAAACTAGCTTGTGAGATTGGTGAGTTGCAACAGGCCCCACATAAATGTGAGCTCACGTAAATAATGGGGGGTGGAGGGAAGGCAAAAGGGAGGTTTTCGGGGAGGGTTAAGTTTCCGTCGATGGCGGTGGCGTAATTGGGAAAAGGATGGCGAGAAAGATTGTGTAACCGGATGAAGGTGACAGCGTTGCTGAGTTGTGCAGGCAGGCGTTGTTCAAACAGCCAGCAACTTGATGAGCTCAGGAAACACATGGATTCGACAAGGTTCATAACAACGAGCCTGTGCAGAGTCTGGCTTAGATATTTGAGCCCAAACTCAGCAGTCCCTCTCTCTTTAAATTTCCCGGGGGATTCTTTTTAGGATTGGGGTACTTTCCTCCCACTCTACCAACTAGCCCTTGGATTTGGGGTGGGGGTGGGGGTGGGCTCGTGTGGAGTGATTCTAAGAAACGTCTAAGAAGATTGAGCACAGCCCCTGGCCCCACAGCATGGCGGCGGGTGGGGGGTGAGCCCTCTCGATCTGCTCTGCGCCCTCTCTCCGGGGTCTTTCTCGGTCCCCTGCCTTTCAAAGGAGGCTCCAGGTGGTTCTGGAAGTGTCTTCTCTGTACAGACCCGGAAGAAGATAAGGTGCGCGTGCGTGCCTGTCCATCTTGATTTCTCACATTGCCTTCTTTCTGAAGGCTTGGGCAGGGCGGAAAACCTGGGTCCACCCCAAACGGACCTGCCCTGGTGACTTGTCCCTGATCTTTTCCTCCGGGAGGTGAGACGGACCCTTTTCATCACCGGACTCCCCCGAGAAGCCAACAAGGAGATGGTGGAGAGTCACTTCCGGTGAGCAGGGCTGAGGCCTTACAGAAGGAGTGGGTCGGGAGGGGGGCTGAACCCCTGCCAGGCAGACACAGCGCAGTCCCATGGGCGTGGGCTTCCCTTGGTTCCCAGGTGAGAGCCGAGAGGGGCCTGTCCCTGCCACATGGATATCAAGTGGCTCTGGTGAGCCAGGCTTCCCTTAGGCTGCTGGAGGGAGAAGACCAGAACTGGGGTCCTCCCCATGTAGCCCCGGGAACCAGCCACAGGAGGGGGAGTAGCTGCCAGTGGGGAGGTGCTAATATATGTAGGAGCAGCCTGTGGGAAAAGAAGTTCATTTGTCTTGGGGCCTTTGAGGCAGCTTTGTGAAGCAAGCTATGGGGGAGCCAAGCCTTTCGGATGGGGCTCACCAGTGAGCTGAGTCTAACCTGTGCTCTGGATAAACCTCCTTCCCAGCAGCCCACCCGACTCCGCCAGCGGCGGCTGGAGGCAGGACTGCCTGCCAGGGGTGCAGACAAGGCAAGGCCTAGGAGGCGCATCAGAAAAGGGGCATGTGGACTGGGGAGGCTCCTGGGAACCCCAGGTTGTTGTTGTTGGGACTCACAGCGACCAGATGACAACACGGAACACCACACAGCCCTGTGTCACCTTTGTTAGGTTGGCACCCTTAGTCGCAGCCACTGTGCCAGTCCATCTTGTGAGGGACCTTCGTCTTCCTCACTGCCCCTCTCCTTTACCAAGCTTCTCCAGCGACCGGCCTCTCCTGAGGACATGTCCAGAGCACGTGAGGGGAGGGTGTTAGTCCGGTGGACTAGAGAAACAAATCCAGAGACACTCATATGTGCATAAGAAAGAGCTTTATACAAAAGAGCAATTGTAGATTGAACAAATATCCCAGCCCCGCCCAGATCAAGTCCATACGTCTGATACTAGCCCATATGTTGATAGTAGTCCCTAAATTCCTCTTCAGACTCATGCAACACATGCAATGACACCAAACGCAGGAAGATCACAGGCCAGTGGTTGCAAAGTCTTGTGGATCTAGTGGTGGTGGAAGCATCTCAGTGCTGGCAGGGTCTCCACGTGGCTCCTCCACCTCCAGGGCTCTAGCTCCACCAGCGTAGCTCCACGTGGCTTGTCAGTAGGGAGAAGAAGAGAGTGTGGGTCTGGCCTCCAGTGAGCTATTTCTCTCCATAGCGCCTCCAAATGAGGTCATCAAGCTGTGACCTGATTGAGAGGCTAAACTCCACCCCTTTAGTCTCAAGTTGACACCAGATTACGTAACTACCACAGAGGGTAAAGGCTTAAAGGTCAGTGAGGAGCTGGGATTTGAGACTCTCTTCATTCTTTTTTAATGCAGCTGTCCCCAGTTGGTAGTGTGGATTTATCCCTAGTTGCTGCCAAGTCAGCCCTGACTCAGTTCCCTATGTGTAACAGAACAAAATGTTGCCCGGCAGTGCCCTGTCTTCATGATTATTGGTCATTGCAGAATGATCGATGGCGTTTTATTGGCTAATTTCTGGAAGGACATTGCCAAACCTTCCTTTCTTCCTAGTCTGTCTTAGCCTGAAAGCTCTACCGAAACCCGACCACACTGGTGACCCTGCTGTGACTTGAAATGCTAGCAGCATGGTCTAGCTTCCGGCATCACAGTGACACACGAGTTGCCACGGGACCACAGACCGGCGGCATGAGCTCAGGGCGGTTGACGTCGCACTGTGCACTATTCACGAACCAAGCACTCTTCTGGGCAGAGTCACAGTAAAGCAGAATTATAAAACAAATGCTTGAAATGCGTAACTAGCCTCTTTTTCCAGGGACTCAGGCTACTCTAGAACCATGTACTGATGTACCCTTGCTACTGTAATCGCTTTACTCTTCATCGAAATGAGGCTCCAACATAATATGGAGGCAGTAGTTCCGCTTCTCGGAGAACCTTAGAGAGAGAAGAGCCTTTCCTCTCCACCCCCAGGGGCGGACCCCTGCAGCCCAGGAGAGTGGGCGTGTGGCTTTGCCTCGGTGCTCCTTGCCATGCAGTCGGCGTCCGCTCACGGGGCCTCGTGACAATAGCGCGAGGCAGTGCCCAGTGCGCAGCGCCCTCATAACCACCAGGCTCTCCAAGTCTGCTGTGGCCAGCCTGCATTTCAAATGCCTACGAGTTGGGCTGCGATCACAATGGCGGCTTGGTTTGAAACCACCAGCCGTGCTGTGGGCGACAGATGGGGCTTTTTACCCCTGTGGAGAGTCTCAGGAGCCCACCGAGGCATTTCTGTACGCTCCTGTAGAGCCGCTACTTGTCAGCGTCAACTCGATGGCAGCGAGGGCCATCTGTGGGGCCCATCTTCCAGGCAGCACTCTGTTGTGATCCGGAAAGTGTTTGTTGGCTCATTTTCCAGGTCGGTCTTCCTAGATGGAGTCTACAAGCTTTGTTGAGACCTTGCCCCCAGGGGTGACCCTGCTGGTATTGGAAATACCCATGACATAGCTTTCAGCATCACAGCCACACACAAGCCACTGATGTGTGGCAAACAGGCTGGTGGTGATGGTGGTGGCTTGTAGCAGGATGCTGAAACTGGGGATTCTCTTCCTCAAAATTCTCGGTGGGGCTTGAAGTAGCCCTCCTGATAAATTGGCGTGGTGGGTTTCTCTCTCACTAAAATATCAGCTTATCCCGGTTTCCCCTCCAGCACCCAGAACAGTGCCTGGCACGCCATGGCTGGGGCTCAACATGGTGCAGGAATCCCCAGAAGTTTCATGTACAGTGTGTGTGTCTCTCTGTGTCCCTGTGTCCTTGGTGGTGTAGTTGGTTACAAGTTGGGCTACTAACCACAAGGTCGGCAGTTTGAATCCCCCCGCTGCTCCCCTACACAGTTTGGGGGCAGTTCTCCCCTGTCCTATAGGACCGCTCTGTGAGTTGGGATTGGGTGAGGGCAGTGAGTCTGGAGGTGTTTGAGTGGAGCATCCCCCGGTGGCCGTGAGCATGGACCAGAGCCAACTGCCTGATCACACCCCGGCTCAAATGCTCACTCAACTGCTGTGACCTGAGGCCCAGGTCGCATGCCCTCTCTGGGCCTCTCTTTCTTCACCTATGAACTGGGTTCACAGGCTATGGTAGCGGTTCATGTACGTACCGGCCCACAGGAAATGAGCGTGTAAGTCGTTTCACTGGCATTGTTCACGGGTACGCATCTGTTTTCTATGATGAGGGTCAGTCAAATCGGCTACCAGTCCCTGGGGTCCCCAGCCACAGTTGCCTGTTGAAATTCATAGGGTTTTCCCTGGCTGACCTTCAGAAGTAGACCGCCAGGCCTTTCTTCCTAGTCTGACTTGGGCGGGGGAGCTCTACTGAAAAGCTGTCTGGACTCCTGGCGACATGCAAGCCTCCACGGACAGATGGGCAGGGGCTGCGCATGAAGTGCATGGGCAGTAACTGAACCCAGGTCTCTGGCATAGGAGGCGAGATCCTCTACAAAAGCCCTTGACCTTCCAAAGGGCTACACAGTGCATAGGGTTTCAGTGGCCATCCGAATAGCTTGACGGTAGCCCAGTGTTTGAGGGGTGCACAGACTGTAATGGATAATGTCCACTCTTTCCCAGGAGAGGTACCCGCTGACTTAAAGCCAAATGGGTACACACGGAACAATTTCAGGCAGTTACTGTGAGGCTATTAAATACGTCTCTCTCTGTTACATGTGAACGTGCCACTTGGTAAAAGACAAAGAGCCAGGTCCTAGCTGGCCCCTCGTGTGCAACACGACTGTACGTGGTCACGGCCCTTGGGGGAGACAGTGGTGTTTCTCGCCCGAGTGCTCGCTCTTCAAAGCCGCCTTTGCTGCGTCACCTTCCAATGACTGCCTTTTGCTTCCTGCCCTCTCCGGACACAGGGACGCTTACCCTACGTGCCTGGTGGTGGAGGTCCAGCTGTGCTACAACGTGGCCAAGCTGATTTACCTGTGCAAGGAGAGGTAAGGAGGGCTAAAGGGGTGGGCATGCTCTGGGGGAAGCTGGCCTGGAACATTCTGGGGGTAATAGTACCAACGATCCACTCTCAGTTGTGTGGCTCCCCAGCCCCTTTGTTGTTCAGGAAGCCGGCAGCTCAGCTGGGCTTTTGGACTGAGGGTTAGAGGTGGGTGTGAAGTCCACACCCAGAACTGAGAATCGGAGGCTTGTCTCCACCTCATGCCCTCACACCCCGACGCCCTCACACCCCGACGCCCTCACACCCCCACGCCCTCACACCCCACGCCCCCACACCCCACCGACCGCAGGAAGAAGGCCGAAACCAGCCTGACCTACTACACAAACCTGCTGGTGAAGACCGGCCAGCGGACCCTTATCAACCCGAAGCCCTGTGGCCAGTTCTGCTGCTTCGAAGTGCCGGGGTGTGAGCGGGTAAGCGCCCCCCCCCCAGCCCCTCCAGGAGTGGCGCCCGCTGCCCCTCGCACAGAGCCATGTCCTCACTGGGGCGATGTCCCCCACAGGAGGATGCCATCGCCTACTACACGCGCATGAAGGACAGGCTGGTAGAGAAGGTTTCGGAAGAGGAATGCAGGGTTCAGTTCCAGCCCCTGGGAATGGCTTTTGTCACCTTCCAGGAGAAGTTCATGGCCACCTAGTGAGTATGGGCCAGGTCTTTTCAGCATGGATTCTCTCTGGCCCTCAGGGCCATCCCTGTCAGGTGCCCCCCTGCCCCTCAGGGGTAAAGATGTGCTTCATCAGCACGATGGGGACGTGTGGGTGGTGTTTGGCCTTCCCCTGGGGGAGGGGGGGAAGCTGGGAGGCAGCCATCAGCATTCCCTTTGAAGGCGAGCCCACCCTGTGTTTGCATGTTGTCACTGGATGGGTGCTGGATGTGGAGTGGGTGACCCTAGCTGGCCCTGGGGGCTGAATGGGCTGTGCTCGGCTGCCAGACTCTCCCCAGAGGGCCGAGGGCATCTTCCTGGCTCGCTATGCCCAGCAGCATCTTGCCAGGTGGGATGATGTCAGCCTCCTTACAGAGACCTGCTCCAGAGCCACGGAGCCTCCTCTGCCCACAGGCTGCACGGCTCCTGGCCACTGCAGAGAGCCCTGGGGCTCCTCCGGGCGGGTGTGCTGCATCCGAGCCCGGCTCTGGGGAGCTCACAGCGCACCGTGGCACAGCTCCCACAAGGGTGATCTGGGTGCCCTCTCTCTGTGGAGGGAGATCTTGGAGTAGGGATGGGTCCAGGCCATATGTAAAGCCACTCTGGGCCCCGAGTAGGACGTGAGGGGCTGGCAAAATGCAGGCTACCAGCCCAGCAGCGTACACCCGGGTGGGGAAGGTGGGCTGGCCATCCTCAGCTCTGCCCCAGGAACTGTGTCTTGGAGTTAACAGAAACAGCACAGGACCCGGAGTCACACAGGTGGCAGGGGTGGGTGGGGGTGGGGTTGGGGGTGTAAGACCTGTCTCACACAGCCTCGGCTTCTTTCCCGGTACAAGGGGGGTGGAAATAACTGGCAGGGTTGTTTGGGAAGTCTCCGGGTGGTGCCCATAGCTAACCTGCTCAGCTGTGAACAAAGGCTGGAGCCTCAAGTCCACCCAGGGGGCGCTTGGGAGAGAAGCCTAGCGATCAGTGTCTCCAAGTTGGCCGTGAAAGCCAACAGGGGCGCATGTTTCTCCCTGACACAAGGACTTCAGAAAGATCCTCCAAAGAGCGGGCCAAGCGTGGTGCCTGCTTCATACATAGCTTTCATTATGCAACCGTGGCGCTAGAGCAAAGCTTGCGTGCCCAGGGCTCCCAGATCACCCTCCAGCACTCTGCCTGTGGCTGGTGGTACCTGGGGGACTGGGCCCTGACCAGCGGTCTCCCCCGACAGCATCCTGAAAGACTTCAACGCCTGCAAGTGTCAGGGTCTCAGGTGCAAAGGGGAGCCACAGCCATCTACCCACAGCAGAGAGCTCGGCATCTCTAAGTGGACTGTCAGCTTCGCCTCGTACCCCGAGGACATCTGCTGGTGTGTACCGGGGGAGGCTGGGACTGAGGGGAGGGGGGACAGCTGTCCAGTGACAGCTCCCCAGTGGGGATCTGCATGGTCTGGGCTGAGGGTGCTGTGACGTACTTGGGGCGGCCACACCCCAACATTGCACCTGCTACACAAGTGTATGTTCACATTTTCCGGAAGCCACATTAGAAAAGTAAAAGAAGAGCCTGTTGAACACTCATCATTTTTAAAATGTGTTTCCCAGTATAGCCACGATCCCTTCAACGTGTAACCACGATCAAACACACGGAGACGGTCCGGTCCGCCACCTCCTTTTCCTTCCATCCTCACAAGCTGGTGGTGGCTGGGTAGTGGACGTGAGCAGCGTGTCCAACCAGCCACGTCTCAAATGCACTGGAGCTGCCTCGATTGTCGGCTGCAGTCTTAGGTCAAGTGTCTGCTACTCCCATCTGGGGACATGCTAGTGGGCTCAGCCGCACCCAACACGGCAGGGGCAGCCCAGCATGGGCCCGGCGGGCCTGCTGTCCCCCAGAGCTCCCCCAGAGGGGCCCCCAGAGGCTCATCTCCTTCTGTCCTCATCCAGCCTCCAACGGTTTGGCTCTGGCTCAAGGACATTCCAACTCCGTGTGTGTGCTCGTGGTGGGGCCGAGTGGCCAGCACACATTCCAGCTGGCCGCCTGACCCCTGATCCTCCCTCCCGCCTCCATCTCCACCCCATGGCCCCACCTCACTGGGAAGAATGTGTCTTCAGTCACAAGGCACTGCAGACACACCTGGGAAATGCCACAGCTATCCTGGGCCTTGCTTCCTCTGCGGAGGGGCCTTGGCATCTCCTTGGGTAGTTAGTACTAGGTAATTGAGACTTCTCTGCCTGGCACCGACAGTCAGTACAGGAAGCGTGCCAAATGAGCCCTCACTAAAAACGCCAGCCTACCTAAGCCATGGACACTTGCTGTGCCCAGCCCCCAACCCCACGTCCTCTTCTCTGCAGGAAGAACCTCTCAGTCCAGGGCCTCCGGTGGTGGAGCCAGTGGCTGGGCATCAACTTCATACTCTTCCTGGGGCTCTTCTTCCTGACCACGCCCTCCATCATCCTGTCCACCATAGACAAGTTCAATGTCACCAAGCCCATCCACGAGCTGAATGTGAGTGATGAGGATGCTGGGCAGAAGAGATAATGTCGGGGAATGGGGACCAGGGTGGGAGTGGGAGGAGGCCATGTCACCCAACACGGGCCTGAGCAGTCATGGCATATGAATTGCAACAGCTTTCTAATATAAACCCCCTCATATATATGTATGTGTGTGTGTGTGTGTGTGTGTGTGTGTGTATATATATATATATATATATATATATATATATATATAGACTCTTTATATGTTAAGCAGTAAGAACCACTGGAGTTGAAGGAGGCATAGTCAGTCCGATAGAATGTTGAGCAGCTACAAGACAGTGTAGCAACCTTGGGGCACACGGGTAGGGTTTATGATACAGAAGCGTGTGGAAGTGGATCTAAGCAACGGGTCAGCTGATGTGCCCGAGGTGTGTGAAGGAGCCTGGTAGTGCAGAGAAGGGTCAACAGGGCTACAATCCCAAGGGGCGGGTCACAGCGGAGCCCTCCCTGGGGCATGAGGGAGAAGAGCTGGCCATCTGCTTTGTCAAAGATTGGCGCTCAGGAGATCCCCGGGTGGGCGGTGCTACTTGGCCTCCTGGGATGAGGAAGCATGAAAGCTGGACTCAGCCGGGTCCATCCAGGACAATAGTGAGGCGATGCCCAAGGGGGTGTGGGGGAGGAGCAGGAGAGACCGAGTTAATAATGATGTACTTTTAGATAAATTTATGAAGTCATTGGTGCTCCATAAGTAATGATCAAACGAACAAATACATAAGACAATTCAAGGAGCTGCGATAGCAGCCGAGCATTCCCTGACCTGGGACCGATGTAAACAGCGCTTTCCCGTAACTCACTCTACTGAAATCCCCCCTCTCTAAATCGTTTCCTCCTCCTCCCATTTCCATCTGGCATCTGGTTAGCCAGCCAGTCTCTGGGGAAGCAGCCTGGCCTCCAGACCCCAGGTCCTGGTCTAGCTTCCCATCTCCTAGCTGAGTGTGCTCTGAGCCCCCATTTTTCTTTACCCAAAGAGTGGAGGGGCCCCACTTGCCATTCCTTACTCATGGGCCGGTGAGATGAAGATCGACTGTGCTAATGTGCCCTTGAAGCTCCTTCATGTGACTCCCGGCACAAGAAAACCTAACCACCGGTGAAGCTGGTTTGTTCCCATGGTCTTCTGATGCCGGGCCAGTCCTTGGGAGGATGGGTCTGCTGACTCCACTCTGCCTGTGTCATGTAAATAAACCCCACCTCTTCCCTATTGTCTGTGAGCCCAGTTTGAGTTTTCTTTTTTCTTTTTTTTAATCATTTTACTGGGGGTTTGTACAATTCTTATCACAATCCATACATCCATCGTGTCAAACACATTTGTTTATTTGTTGCCATCATCATTCTCAAGACATTTGCTTTCTACTTGAGTCCTTAATATCAGCTCATTTCCCCCCCTCCCTTCCCCCTCCCTCATGAACCCTTCATAATTCATAAATTATTATTTTGTCATATCTTACACTGTCTGATGTCTCCCTTCACCCACTTTTCTGTATTCCATCCCCCAGGGAGGAGGTTATATGTAGATCCTTGTAATCGGTTCCCAGTTTGAGTTTCTTTAATGCAAGAATTTAAAGATACTTGCAAAGCCATCTTTAGTAGAGAACCCTCTTAGACATCATGTCTTTGAATACTTTATAGTTAATTGACTCGCCTCTGGTTCAAACCCGCCCCCCCTTTCTTTCAGAAATCAGCCTTGATCCAGTCTTTTCAGAGTATTCCTTTTCGTTTCTAAAGACTATTTTTGTTCATTTCATTCAAGTCATAGGCTCGGCACATCATCTAATTACAGCCCTAAGTACACCCAGCACACACGCAGGTGTGGGAGGAAGCACAGCCCGCCCTGGTCAGCATGTTGCTTCCAGTGCCCACGGCTGCATGGCTGGGTGCCTGGAGAGGAGCCCTGCTCTTAAGCGCCCTCCGCTCTTCCCTTGGCATCAGCCGTTTTTATAAGAGACCAAGGTGGTCATGCCATCCTGCCAGTCAGATGCCTGGAAAGAGAGAGAGAGAGAGAGAGAGAGTATGTGAGTGTGTGTGTGTGTGTGTGTGTGTGATGCTTTCTCCACGCCAAAGAGCTATACAAACGGTGCTAGTTGCACAACAGGAGACGTTGTTGGTCCTCCCCATCTTCAGGATGCTTGGGACACTCAAGTCCACTCGGGTGGTCACCGTGTCTGTTAAGTGCCTTCCAACCGAGAGGCCTCATCTGCCAGTACCACATCGGTGTTCTGTGACCCACAGGGTGTCCATTAGCTCGTGTTGAGAAGTAGATTGTTAAGACTGTCTTCGGAAGCTCTACTGGAAATCTGTTCAGCAGGGACAGTCCTGTTGGGATTTGAAATACCATTGGCATAGCTTTCCACATCACAACAACACACAAGCCACCACCACGTGACACACAGAGACAGGTGGTGTTGCCAACATAAGGTGCTGGGACTGACGGTTGTCAACCTTTATAGAATACCTACCCTGTGCCAGGTCTAGTACTGCCTGTGTGTGTGTGTGTGTGTGCGCGTGCAAGGAGCTCAGCACCTTCCCCAGGGGCTCACTGAGTCGCCAGGCCAGCAGGCCATGATTTCAGGGCCCACGGGCCTTTGCTGACTCTCTGCTGTGAACCTCTGTTTCCTAGAACCCAGTCATCAGCCAGTTCTTCCCGACCCTTCTCCTGTGGTCCTTCTCAGCCCTGCTCCCGACCATCGTCTACTACTCCACGCTGCTGGAGTCTCACTGGACCAAGTGAGTGCTGGCAGGGTCCGGGCCACCCTGAGGAGGAAGGAGGTCCCAGGCCCGCCAGAGAGCTCACCTCTGACTTTCTGCAGGTCGGGGGAGAACCGGATCATGATGACCAAAGTCTACATCTTCTTGATCTTCATGGTGCTGATCCTGCCCTCTCTGGGCCTCACCAGGTAGACCTCGCCACCCCCCACTGGCTCCCATAGCTGGAGGGCACTATCCCAGGAGGATGGAAATGATTGGTGTGTGTGGGGGGTGGTGGTGGTGCAATGCACATCCCTACAGCATTTTAGCCTGGCTAAATGCCCACTTAGGGTGCACTGTACTGGCCCTTTGATTCTTTTGGAAATAGGGTCTTTCTTCCTTTAAAAAAAATAATCATCAAACTTGAAAACAAAACCGACTGAGGATCTTCCTTTTAGGGAAGGTTTGGTTGGCGCCCCAGGAGCCCTGGTGGCTTAGTGGTTCCCTGTTGGGTTGCTAACTGCAAGGTCCGCAGTTCGAAACCACCAGCAACTCCAAGGGAGAAAATCAGGGCCTCCTCTCATAAAGAGCTGCCTTCTCAGAAACTCACAGGGGCGCGTCTACCCTGTCCTGCAGGGTCCCTGTGAGTCGGCATGGACTCGATGGCAGCGAGATTGGTTTTGGGGGGAGGAGTCCTGGCGGTGCAGTGGTTAAGCAGCTGACTGCTGCTTAAAACGTCAGTGGTCTCGAACCCGCCAGCTACTCTACAGGAGAATGAGGCAACCGCAAAGAGGACCGACCGCCTTGGGAACGGTCCTAGTCCCTATCCCACGGCATCACAGTGAGTCAGGAGGGACTGGACCGCAGCGGGCGTGGCGGCGTTTGGTCATCAGAGCCTCGTTCTTCTCAAGGAAGGCCATTTCGGTTCAAGCCAGGCCCTCGGAGGCCCTGTGGACAGTGGCGTTGAGATGTGGCCTTTCTAGAGCAGGAAAAGGACAACCAAACAAACCAGAGCAGACCCGTGCGTACTGACTGCGGGGGCTGTTGGGGGTGAATGGCGGTCGTCTCTCTCTTTCAGCCTGGACTTTTTCTTCCGGTGGCTCTTTGACAAGACTTCCTCCGAGACCTCCATCCGGCTGGAGTAAGTATCTGCCACCTGCCGCGTGGAGTCCCGCCCCCGCGGGCTGCCCTCGGGCAAACGCAGGGCCCGGGCAAGCTTACTTCCTCCCACAGACCGCAGGACTCACCCACACCCCCAAATCCCTTTCGGGCTGGGCTGTGGCCCCCGCAGAGCCCCTGGGCTGCACCGAGGGAGCTGCCCCATGTGCGAAAGAGGGCTCATTTGTAGTCTGCAGTTCAATTAGTCTCAGAGCGGCATTAAGTACCGAGTGAGTGAACTGGCAGTGTTGACGGGCTGCTGCCTAACAAGGTCCCCACACGGGGTGGCTGAGCATGGCAGCACCTCACAGGCCAGGAGCCAGAAGCCCCCAGCCCAGGTGTTGGCAGAGCTGTGCTCTCTTGGCTCTGGGGAAGGCCCATTTGTGGCTCTTCCTAGTTGCTGGCGGTTGCCAGCTGTCCTCGGTGGCCGGCCTTGGCTTGGTGGAGGCTCCTCTTCAAACTCTGCCTCCATCGCCAGGTGTCATCTCCCCCCACTTCTCTCAGCCTCTCTTGTTTACGAGGACATGACTCATATGGGATCAGGACCAATCCTATGACTTCATCTGTGTTCACGCATGACTTCTGCAAAGGCACTATTTCCAGACAAGGCCATGCTCACTGGTGCTGGGGATTAGAACTTGAGCGCCTCTTTAAAGGGACAGAATCCCACCCCCCACAGTTCCGCCTGCCCCTTTAGGTTCCCTGGGTCCATCTGGCCCCTCAGAGCTCCTGTAGTAAGCACAGAGGCCTAGATGACTGGTCCTTGGGCTCTAGCTCTGCCGAAGGTCTCTGGCACACACACACACACACACACACACACACACACACACACACGCCAAGGGGGGTTCTCTACATGACATTCCCTCTCAGCAGGCACATGATGCATATTGCTGCTGGGCCCGGACTGCCATGGGCACTCTGATGGAAACACTGCAGGCCTAGGGACTTTGTCTCACTGCCAGTGCTCAGGACAGGGGATGCGCCCCACACACTCACTGCCTGAAGGACTGAGTATAGAGCCAGGCGCCCTTGCTCTGCCCTTACTTCCCTCTGGCCAGAAGGAGGCGGTTGTGGCTACTGCAGGCTCACGGGACCCCTGGTCTCCCCAGGTGTGTCTTCCTGCCTGACCAGGGTGCCTTCTTTGTGAACTACGTCATCGCCTCGGCCTTCATTGGCAATGGCATGGAGCTGCTGCGGCTGCCGGGCCTCATCCTCTACACCTTCCGCATGATCATGGCCAAGACAGCTGCCGACCGGAGGAACGTCAAGCAGGTGTGCGGCCGAGGTGGGGCGGGCGGGACACCCCCAGGTGCAGGGCCCGACACACCTGCCAGTCACCTTGTCAGTGCTTGGAGTCTAACTCAGACAACTGCCAGCCACACATCCCTTTCCCACGGGGCCAGTGCACATGAGTTCTTTGGATTACATAGATGCCACAGGTCCTTTAGCCTTGTGACATTTGTCCCAAGATTCCCAAAGTTGGATGAGAGGGGCTCTCTATGACCCTGTCTTGCCATCCCAAGCACTGATGGGTAACAGCCTTCTTTCATTGCTTCCTTGAACCACCGGCACGAGGTGGGTCCTATCAGTCTCCCTCCTCCATTGATACACAAACTACACCACAGAGAGGGCCAACGCTTTATCCAGGACACACAGCCTGCGGCGGGGCTGACTCCAGAATTACTCTGCAGCCTGTCCTCGGAGAGTCGGTCTTCCCACCATCCTTGGGGGCAGACGGGATCCATCGAAGAAAATGCTGAGCCAGCCTGCAATCCCCCGGCCCGTGCAAGGCTGGGCGAAGCTGGCAAAGGCTTGGTGGGGGGAGAGGAAGAACCCGAAGAGGTGGGGGGCTGGCTGTGGGTCTCCCGTTCTACACAGCTGTGCTCCCTTTGTTGTCTGGGATGCAGTGAGGGGCGTCTGGGGCAGGGCGAGTGTGTGAAACCCCCACCCCGCTCCCCTGGCCTCCCCCCAGAACCAGGCCTTCCAGTACGAGTTTGGCGCCATGTATGCATGGATGCTGTGCATCTTCACCGTCATCATGGCCTTCAGCATCACCTGCCCCATCATTGCGCCCTTTGGTGAGCAGGGGGCGTGGGGAGAGGAGGGGGTGGCTGGAGCCTTCAGCATCCCAGGACACCACGGGGACCTGGGGGTGGGGACCACCTGTCAACCCTCAGACAAGCTGCCAAAGAACCACACGTGACCCCAACCTCCATGCCGCTTCCAAACGATGCCGTCGGTCGGGCCGCACTGCTCCTGGACCAAGGCCCTTTGACCCTTGGCGCTGAATGCTTTGATTTCAGCCACTCGCCATCTTGGCTGAGATGGGCTCTGGGTCGTGTCCCACACAGACCCTCACAGCAAATCCCCACCGAGCCGACAGGGCGGCTGGCTTCCCAGTCCTTTTATATGGAGTCTTGAAGGGCATTAAAGCCAGGATTTGAACTTGGGCTCTTTGCCTTTAAAGGCCAAGGTCCTGATCACGATCTGCAGCTAGACCTGCAGGGGCTGGCGAGTGACCAGCAGGCTCGGGGAGGACGCAGGTAGAGAGATCCAGGAGTGAGAGGGGGCTGCTTCCCCTGTACGCTCTCTCAGGGGCCTCCCTGGGCAGGTGGAACATTAACACACTGGACTGCTAAGTGCAAGGTTGAAGGTTGAAGTCCACCCAGAGGTGCTTGGGAAGAAAGCTGGTGATGTGTGTCTGAAAGATCACAGCTATTGCCCCTCGCCGCCTCCCCTGTCTCCTATAGAGCACAGCCTGCCCGACTGGCCTGGGGCGACCGTGAGGCAAAGTGCTTCTGAGTCCTACCCTCTTGCACTATTTGAGGTGCCCTGGTGCCACCGCGGTTAAAGTGCTCGGCTGGTCAGCACTTTGAACCCACCAGCGGCTCTGTGGGAGGAAGTGGTGGCCATCCTCGGTAAAGACCTGTGGGGCAGCTCCACCCTGCCCTGTAGTGTCGCTGTGAGCCAGAATCAGCCCAAGAGCAATGGGCCTTTACCATTTACAAACATCTGTGCTGTCACTTTGAACAGACAGGCACAAAAGCCAACTTGGCAGAGTAGCAAAGGCCCCTGGGAAAGAGACATGAGGTCAGCCTGGGTGGGAGGAGGGGGGTCGGGGAGACTCTTGTCCCCATGTGAATGGGGTTTCAGGGTTCCATAGGGACAGAGCTACGGGAGCCTCTGCTCCCGTGGGTAGGGACAGAGAGAGGCTGGGAAAGGATGAGCATCCAGGTTATGCCTTTGTCCAACCTGGGGTCCACACCGCACGCAGGCTTTGCGCTCTGCCGGGCCCAGCCCCACTTAGACATAGTCTCCCCGAGGAGGAGGAAGCGGGCAGAGAGGCCCTGGTCATCCACCTCACAGCCTCCCTCCGCAGGCCTCATCTACATCCTGCTCAAGCACATGGTGGACCGGCACAACCTCTACTTCGTCTACCTGCCGGCCAAGCTGGAGAAGAAGATCCACGTGGCTGCGGTGAACCAGGCCCTGGCTGCTCCCATTCTCTGCCTCTTCTGGCTCTATTTCTTCTCCTTCCTGCGCCTGGGTGAGGGCCCCGCCCCCGGCCTCACGGGCCTGCATCCACAGCAGCCAATCACATTCCTCACCGCCTTAACAGTTTCAACGAGGCGTCCAATCAGAATGTGGTATCCAGCGGGGGCGGGCCCGGAAGCCCAGACCAGCTTCCACCTGGCTCAGAAGTGAGCCTCCCAAAGGCCTGGCAGTTGCCCCTGTTCAACACTCTTAGGGAGACTACCTTTCTCGGTGGCGTTGACAGGGCTGGTGGGAGGGGCCGAGATAGGTTGTGGGGAACTGCTATTCTTTTGGGGAGGAGCCTGCAGCTCAGCCAGAGGAGCCCTGGTAGTATAGTAGTTACTTGTTGACCTGCTAACGGAAAGTTCAACAGTTCGGAACTACGAGCCACTCAGGGAGAACCAGAGGGCTTTCTACTCCTGTGAAGAGTTAGGATCTCAGAGAAAGCCAGGGGGGTGGTTCTACCCGGTCCCCTAGGGTCATGCCATGTCAGAATCGACTCGTTGATAGGGAGCAAGCCCCCCAAATGGGGGAAGAGTTTGTCCTACCTAGCCCAGGCCACTGGGGACTTGAGGGGCCCACCTGACAAGGAAGCTGAAGGGAGTCACTGATTTGATGTGCTGGCCCTGGTGATCTCCCGAGAAGATCCACCTGCCAGTGGACAATCGGTGGGCCCCAGCTCTACCCTGCTGCACACGTGAGCATGCCGTGAGTCAGCGGCCTCCATGCCGGCTGGTGTGCTCCTCTGTTGTGTTATGCGTCTCGGGGCCCCAGTGCCTGTGGCGGCTCTTGACAGGTTTTGAGCTCTGGATCAAGGCACGGTCAGTTCTGGCCGTGGCTGCACCAGCGAGGCTGCTGGCGCGGGCCTGTCAGCTGTAGGCCTTTCCTTTCATGCGGAGGGTGGACAGGGCAAGGCTGCAGGCCCGCCCCCGTGGGGCCCCCCTTTCCATGGCATCCCACCCTCCACCCTAAGGCTGCTCTCCCTCTCCCGTGTCCAGGTATGAAGGCCCCTGCCACCCTGTTCACCTTGCTGGTGGTGCTGCTGACCATCCTGGTCTGCCTGGCCTACACCTGCTTTGGCTGCTTCAAGCACCTCAGCCCACTGAACTACAAGGTAAAGGGACTGCCCCCTCCTCCTGCTTTACATCTCAATAGCCCTCCCCAGACTGTATTTACCCCCGCAGCAGGCTGTGAACTGTAGCCCCCACCCCACACACTTCCCTGCTCTCTGCACCTATCCCCTGCCCGCTCCAGGGCTGCCGCTACCCCAGCCACCCTACTGAGAGTTTTGGGTCCAGCTGGTGCTACTCCTGTGAGTGTTCATTGTCTGTTTGGAGGGTGTTGGTTCAGGGACCTGGGTTTTGCTCATCACTGCAATGTTTGGCTGTTATCTGCAGACAGAAGAGCTGCCCAGCGACAAAGGAAGTGGGGCCGAGGGCTCTGCGCCCCCACCATTCACAGTAAGTGCCCCCTCTCACCCAGGCACTTGTTCTGGCTGGCTGGCTTACATTTTAAGGGACCTAACCAGATCAGCTGCAGGAAGACAGGTCTTGGTGGTCTCTTGCCCAGATAGAAGCCCCAAGACGGTATGGCAGGTGGGTTCCTGAATTAGGTCAGCTCGTCCCTCTGGATGGGAACCTACATGATATGTGAGACAGTGACTCCCCCCCCCC